GGTGCACCGTGTGGTTGGTTTCCCCACTGTGGCCCAGAGTGAGGCACGGGGGGGGCACAGATACACAGCCCACACCTAATGGGCCGGCTCTCCGGCTTTGGGGGGCGCTGCCCCTCCAAGTTCGGTGTGGAAGCCTTCTCCGACAGCCTCAGGTTCATCACAGCCCGGCCTTTGTCCTTCTTGGGGTTTGGCGGCCTTGGAGCAGCGCTGTTTTGCCTCTGCCCTGCTTTCACCATTCCTCCCCAGCCACTCCTGTCCCAATAGAAGGGAAAGGCATGGAGAGGTGGGGAGAGATTGTGAAAGGTGTCTGTTTGGGTTGTGAATTAGGTGGGTGGGAGCCAGCGGTTGTGCAAAGATGGAAAGGGTTGGAGCAGCACCTTCTCTGCGGTGGCAGTGCTGGGTCCCGTCCTGGGGCAATGACATCGATGTCCTCAACCCCATCCAGGCGTGAGATGCGACCCTTTGGGGTGAAGGTCTCTATCATTGAACCCGGTGGATTCCGAACGGGAATGACCGACCCCAAAGCGTCAGCAAAGGAACTGCATCGCCTGTGGGCGCAGCTCCCGGCAGAGACCCGGGCATCCTATGGCCGCCGCTACCTGGAAACCTGTTAGTGCCTCCCCCCACCTCCTCACAGCACTGCAGCCACCCCGCGGATCCCTCCGCCCCGCTGACCCCCTCCCTCCCCGCCCTACAGACGCCCGTCGCAGCGCCCTCCTGCACCGCCTCAGCAGCCCCCGCCTGTCCCGCGTCACCGCCCGCGTGCAGCACGCGCTGCTGTCCCGCAGTCCCCGCAGCCGTTACGCCGCCGGCTGGGACGCGCTGCTCTTCCTGCTGCCTCTCAGCTACTGCCCGACGTGGCTCTGCGATGCCTTCGTCGCCTTCCTCATGCCAAAACCGGACTGCGGGACACCCTGAGCGCATCCCTGTGCCCGCTCCGTGCTGCACGCGGGGCTCCTGCGGGTGCAGGACCTCATTAAATGCGTTTTTCCCTTCTACAGCAGCAGCCCTCGTGCCCTCTGAGCTCGCAGCTCGCCCCGCACTGGGGCTACGGGCAGAGGGGCACAAAGCCCCGCTGCGTTGCTCCAGCCGTTCCAGAACCCCTCCAGCAGCTCACTCCTAACGCAGCATCATCCTCCCCGCCCCCAGTTTGCCATCCTCGGGAGTTGGGTGCTTTTTGCCCAGCTCCCACCTCCCGCAGCTGCCGGGGGCTGCAATCAGGTCCATCCTCTGCTGCACCTTCAGCTCAGGAGAGGAAAGCCCCCTCCCCAGGATCCCTCTCTTCCCAGCTGGGCTGCACAGCTCCATTTGTCCTCCTTCTGCGCCCTCGGAGTCCGCTGGCAGCGATGGGTGCTGCTGTGGTTCGGCACATCAGATGTGTGGGCGGTGACTCATGCATCCTTCATACCTCTAATTAAGGGATAATTAGCGATGACGACTTGGAGATGGGCCCCCGAGGCCGTGCAATTGCTTGCAGGACTGAGGAGCGACCCACGCCGCCCACCCGCGTCCCTTCTTCCGCTGACACGTGCGGGGGCTGCGCTCGTGCGGGACTGGGGTGATGTGGGGCGATGCGGGGCGATGTGGGGTGCAGGGTGCGAGGAGCCCTCGTGCGAAGCAGAGAGTTCCTGTAGGTTTGATGGGTGCAGCATCCCAGCAGCCTGCACAGCATCGTTGTCCCTGCGTGTCCCTGGGGTGGGCTGCAGAGTGCGGGAGGGGGGCTGCGTGGGGAGGGCATTGGACTCGGAGCAGCGCTGCCAACAGCAAAAGCCGGGGGAATGGTGGATGCGGATTCAGCTCCTTGGGGTAGAAGCTCCCGTGGGGTTTTGCCTCTCTGCCTCCAACCCCCCCCCTCCCCAACGCTGAGCTCCCTGGGGCCCCTCCACCCCAACCCGGGGCCTCTGAGCACGGCCCTTCCGGAGAGGAAGGGGCCCCTTATCCCATCAATCTCCAAACAAATGGGGCCCTGGGGAAAAGGGGGGGGGGATGGGGCGGGGGGGCTCAGCGCGCTGGGGCGATGCGTTCGTTGCGGTGCCCCCTGAGCACCCAATTCTGTGCCAATTCCGTGAAGAGCAGAGCTCAGAGGAGTTCGGCGGAGCCACCCCCCCTCCAGGTCCCAGGTGGGGTCACCCACACCGCGCAGCCCTTCTGCTGTGCCACCACCAACGGAGCTCCGAGCTGCTCCTTCCCTGAGCCCCCGAGAAGCAAAACGCCAACGCCGGGAGCTTCCAGCACGCAGCGCATCCGCCCCAGCCGGACCGCGTGCACCGCTTTCAGGAGGACGATGCCAACCCGTGGCGTCCTCGGCGTGGGGCAAAGCAGCGCCCGTTCCTGTTTGCAAACAGCGAATCCCGTGGGCCGGTACCTGTTTGCTCTTTGGCCGCCCGCCCGTTGTTGAGACAGCGCCCACTTATCAGTGCACGCGCTTCCCTGTTCCCTCCGTGCCTTCCTTCCGAGCGATTGTTGGTCGCGATGCCTTGTCTGCACTTGTAAAGGAGATTTCCTGCAATTGTTCTGCAGGACTTGCAGCCCGAGGCAAAAACGTTCTGCCTATCAGCCCCCTCCCCAACGCGGGGCAAGGCTGAGCCCCCTCGCTTCCCCTGCGCGCTGCTCCGCTGTTGTCCGCTGATTAATTGCTGCCGGGCACAGGAGCTGCTGTGGGGATGGACGTGCGCTGCATTCCGACCGCTGAGACAGCACCAGGGGGTTGCGATGCCCCGACCCCTCAGTGCCGTGCTGTGCCACGCTGCACCGTGCCGATGCCGCTCTGTGCCACGCTGTGCCGTGCTGGACTGCGCCGTGCCGTGCCGAGCCGCGCAGCACCGCACTGTGCTGCTTTTGTCATCTTTCCGCAACAAAGAACCCGAGGGTCCCCGCGCATGGCCGCAAGGACGGGCACAGCGCGCTCCCCAGCCCACCCCAACCCACGGACTCACAGCTCCGGGGATCCTTCCCCCCCACCAGCACCCGGCCACGCTCCGCCCGCGGCTCCGTGCCCCCACATCCCTCATGGGGCGGGGATGGATGCGCTGCGGACCCTCCGGCACTGAGGGCAGCACCTGTCCTTGTCCCCCCCCCGCCTTAACGCACCGCCCTCGGGCACACATCGCGTCCCGGGGCCGCCTCAGGATACGGGGCTGCCGCGCTCATTTCCTGCGGGGTGGGATCCCGGAGCGCAGCCCCGCAAGCCCAGAGCAGCTCCCGCAGCCACGCAGCGAGGATCGCATCGCGCACCCCCGGTGAGCCGCGTCCGCGCACCCCGAGATCCCACCGCCACTGCGGGCGGAGAGCGCAGCGCAGCCCCGGGGCTTTGGGCACAGCTGCGGGGGGCTGCAGTGCTGTGCGGTGCTGTGCGTTGCGGCCGTTCCGTCGGCAGCCCCGGGGTCGGGTCCCCCGTGCGCGCGGGGCTGGGGCCGTGCTGGGATCCTCTCTGGGATCCGCTGAGGGTCTTTTAAAGGGATGATGTAGGAATTGGCACGGTGGAAGAAAATCCCGTAGGATTAAAAAGGGCCTCAGAAGCTCAGAGAGCTGAGCTGTGCCAGCAGAGACCCGCTGGTTTTCACCTGTTTCCCAGCTGTGCTGCTCAGATTTTCTGCTCGATTCATTTTGA